GGGAAGAAAGTACAGAGCACCATTGACGTGGGAGGTTGGGAGTGGACAGATGGTGAGTGTTAGCTTGCATGTCAGGAGTGAGTGGCTCAGTGGTATTCACCGGCCTTGGGGCTCTGACTAGAGCTTGGGTATACAATTTTTGTGCCAGCAAAAACCAGCGTTAGGTGGGTGGTATGTGAGGCCAGGTAATGGGCCCTGGGATCCATTCCAGGGCCTGTGGTCTCAACAGAGTTTCATGTAGAACTTTGGGTTTTGTTTGTTTGTTTGTTAAAGAAAGTTATTTTGTCACAGCAAAACTCGGAGGTGGCAGCACTAGACCCAGGTTAGAGTGTGCTCAGCCAGTGTCCACAGAATCTTCCATCCTTGGCATAGCTGAGGCCTGAGTAGAAAGCTGTTTGTAGACAGGCGTAAGTTCTTATGGGAGGAATCAGTCCTTTCCTGGCTTCCAGCCTATGGCTTCCAGCCTGGCTTGCCAGAACTATGTGGCAAGATTAGCATGGTGAAGCCAGGAGCCCAAATGGCAGCCATGTCCACTTCAGCCATTTTTGGTCCTGATGTGAGGTCTTCATTGTCTGCAGAACTTGGCCTCTTGGGAAGATTTGAGGAGCAGAGGGGCTGTAGTCTTGATGGACTCCCAGACCAGGTGGAGCTGAGCCCTGATGGAGCTGTTAGCCTCAGGGGGCCATGGAAGTAGCCCACAGAGATTCTTCTGGGTACATAGAGACCTTGGGTTTTCTGAGTCTTGACAGGTGCTGCCTCAAAGTTAAGAGTGCTTTGCCTCACAGGGTGGCCAGCCGTCCTTTCCCATCCTCTCCCTGTCTTGCATGTTCGTAACAATGAAGATCATTCTTGGTGAAGATGAAAGATTAAAGGCCCTTCCCTCTCTCTTTTCGAACCTTCTGTATTAAAAGGTGATCTTTCCCTACTCATTCAATATTCATTCACTTAAGTTTTTGAGTACCTGCTTTGTAAATTGCACATAATAGATGCAAAATGTTAAAAAAAGAAAAAGAAAAAAAGAATTTGTTTCATGGTAGTGGAGAATAAGAAATGTCTTATTTTTAGAATATGTTTGGGCTCAGCCTCTACCCACCACAGTTGATAAATTCATTTTCAGTTTTTCACAGAGCTCCATTCCCTTCTCTCAGGGACTTGCAGAAACCTCAGGGCTTAACAGACAGAGATCTGGGGAAGGACCTCTGATCTGCATTCATTGACTGTTCCCAGCACTCTGGCCCATGGCCATGAGGTTTGTCTGAAGGCAGCTGTCCTCACTCTCACGTGTGACAGGCTTGGACACAGAATAATCACTGAGGCTCCAGAGCACCCCAGGCCTACCACGCAGTCACCCCATATTCCCCCACACTTTCAAAACTCTAAAACATCCTCTCTGTTCCCTCCATTTCCCAGTCTCAAGGTTTGGGCCTTGCCTCTCTTTTTATTTCAAAGCACTATCCTCTCTCCCTCTACCCTCATCCTTCCCTTCACTCCCACCCTGGGAAGATACAAGTTAATATCTTTTGGGGCCAAACCTTTCAAGTAAAAATGTTGATTTTTTTTCAGTGCAATTCATGAAACTAACAAAATTGTTCAGGGGAAGGAGTGAGGACAGAAATTTAAAAAAATAATTCCTTATTTCAGAGTTTCCTAAAGTGTAGCCTCTGGACACCAACATCAGAGTCACCTGGGGAACTTAATGCTATAGGAGTAGAAATAGGGCCCGGAGTTCAGACTTTGTTGAAAGCTCTCCAGAGTTTGAGAACCCTGGTCTAGTTCTTGGAATACAAAGGTCATCTGCTCTTGTGTGGGAGGTGGGGAATTACCTTTTTTTCCCCCCTAAAATATAAGAGAAAACTTATTTAGTCACAGAGGTAGAAGTGAGTGGTAGTAAAAATGAGTTCAGGAGATAATGTGCCTTGGCGGGGAGAGGAGGAGAAAGGGGTCCTTTCAGGGTTGTGGTCTCCACTGATTGGTCGGTGGGAGGGCAGGGGTCATTAGTCAGTGCAGCTGGTCTTGAGGTCAGCCTTGGTGTCACTTGTCTGGTTTTGTTGCTTTTCTGGGCCTGGAGCTTGGGCTCTGGTGCAGGGAAAGCAGAGTGGACTAGAGCTGTGTGAGGAGAATCCAGAGATGCTAGCCGGGGGAATAGAGCTCAGAGGGCACCCATCTGGACCTTGGTGCCGAGTCACTCCCCCATACAGCAGAGGACATCTTTTTCAGGCAGGCATTTACCTTCCAAGGGAAATTACCTTTTATTCTTTCTCCTGACAGCAATTAAAAAGTCAGATATTACCTGGCTGGGCGTGGCTCAGCGGCTGAGCGTCAACCTAGGATCCAGGCGATCAGGGTTCGATTCCCGGTCAGGGCACATGCCCGGGTTGCAGGCTCGATCAATGACTCTCTCATCATTGATGTTTCTATCTCTCTCTCCCCCTCTCCTTTCCTCTCTCTGAAATCAATAAAGATATATTTAAAAAAAAAAAGTCAGATATTGATACCTTTGTAGACAGGATATAGGAATCTTCCTTTCCAGGTTATCTCTGTATACACAGGTAGAATATGATTATCTCCTGCCCCGAAAAGGAAGTGGGTCAAGTGTTGAGAGAATGTAAAGAGAGCCACTTCCCAGTGGATGATGGAGTGGCTAAAGGAGGAAGGGGGCACACTGGTGGTAGAAAGATCAAGTGTAGTAATATGGCCACCTGAAAACACTCATTTGCTGATGCACAAAATTCGTGTTTAGGCAGAGCAGGTCCACCAAATCCTACCCAAGTCCTGGGGGTAGTTGGGCTTCTGAGTTTTGTTTTTTAGAATTTATTTAATATATACTGAGCGCCGCCCCCCTCCCTCCCGGCCCCCTAGCAAGCACACCTTAATCAAACTTACCACTGAAAATTGAGTCTGCAGCAGGTTGTGTGAATGTACAGGGATATAAATCTAGATGTCCTGGAGTGTGGAGAGATACCTACTACTTAGAAAGGGAGAAGAATGACACTGGGAGTTTAATTTCTATATAGTAGTAAGAGTTTCTTTGTATTAAGTAGATTTTATTATAGAAATCTTCATTATCTTTAGTATTAGAAAAGTCCACAAATGTTTCATTGTTTTCATAATCATGAAAGAAAGGTCTGATTGGGAGATTATCTTGAAAAATGAATGTCAAAAGTATAAAAAAAGTTTATTTTAAATTTATAGTTAACAACATTTAAATTATGGTTGCAACCATGGGCCAGTTCTTAGAAGAAAGAAAACTCAGTCATGTCTTACTGAGTTATGGGGGAAGTGAGGTCACTATTTTTCTAAGTATCACATTCATTTTCTCAGCAGATATTTATTAAGCAACTCTTACATGCCAGTCGCCGCCTTAGGCACGAAGGTACAGTAATCAGCAGCCAAGCTCCTGTCCTCATGGATCTTGTTTTCTAGTGAGAGAAGAGACTACAAAGAAGTGTACATATAAGGGCTGAAGAAAAATTGAAGAAGACCAGGAGATAGAGCTGTGGCTGCAGTTGGGCAGTGGTGCTTGGAGATCAGTCTTCCTCTTCACATTTGACCTCACAGTGTAATTTAAGAACAGTAGGCAGGGGCCTGGTCAGTTTTCCCAAGCTCCTCTCTCAGTCCTGTTCAGAGGATTTTGAAGGACTTGGGTCTTTATCCTTCATCCCTCTTCGGTTGATATTTCTGCCTAGTCTTCTTTGTCGGTGGTTTTATGTGATCAGTTCTCCAACAGCACTTGCATTAAAGCCTCATCTTCTGCAAAATTGATTTTGCAGTTGATTTGCATGTCTTACAGTCTGTGAGTAGGGACTGCCCAGTTCATGCTTGTTGCCCCAGGGTAATTTTTTTTTTTTAATTTTATTATTGTTTAAAATATTACAGATGTCCCTTTTTCTCCCCAATGACCCGTTCCACCCCGTTCCTTCCCCCTCCGCGTCCCTCTCCCCACCATTGTCCATGTCCTTGGGTTGTGGATATATGCACATAAATTCTTTGGTTACTCTCTCCCCCTCCACCCATCCGCCCTTCTCCATCCCTCTGACATTCATCAGTCTCATCTATGCTTCCATGTCATTGAATCTATTCTGTTCATCAGTTTATTAAGTTCTTTAGATTCCACGTATAAGCAAGATCATGTGATATTTGTCTTTCGCTGCCTGGCTTATTTCACTTAGCATAATATTCTCCAGGTCCATCCATACTGTCCCAAAGGGTACAAGATTCTTCTTCTTTACAGCTGCGTAGTATTCCAGCCCCAGAGTAATTTTTATTAGCACTCCCCTTCACTCTCAGCAGTTCTTAGTTTGGACAATAAATTCATCACCCTGTCGATTAAACATTAATGAATTAAGACTAACACAGTGGATGGGGTGTTAAGCAGTGCTAAATGTTTCTGTGTGGTCGGTCCATTCATTAACATTTTTATATTATGACTTTTGCTTTCCTAGGAAACCCTGTGACTGTGGAGACTTAGATGATAAACATTCAACAAAATAGTACCCCTTTTAGAATAATGTGGGTCTTGGGTACCAGCCACACTGGCAGCCAGCTTATAGAGGCCTGATATGATTTTAAGTTGGGTGTGAATGTGGTGTGACCCTGCTTTACCAAGCACTGGGGGAGCTGCCCTGAGAAGGAGGCACATGGACACTGATAGATGGGTTCTGTGACTTTAAGCAAAACAACACATTACAAAACCAATTTTACCATAGGCTAGTTGATATAAACAAGAGGTAAGTTCCTAGCATCTCATCAACATTATAAGGAAACAACACTGAACGAAACGACGTTATTGGAGGACCTGCTGTATTACTTTTGAGTTGGCAATTAAACAAGCAAAGAAACTAAAGGGATGAGGCACTTTTTCTCAAGTGAAAAAAATTACATTAATCTCTTCTTTAAAATTGAAAGTATGTTTTGAGCTTAACTATTGAACCAAGAAGACTGAGTTAATGGTGCTATATTTTGTAGCCTACCTAATCACATTACCTGTTTTTCTGTCACAGATTGCCTTCTCCCAGCACAGCAATTTTATGGACCTGGTACAGTTCTTCGTGACTTTCTTCAGGTAATTTCACTCATACAAACTATACCTGTTCTTTTGATTGAGGCACTTAATTCCATTATCAGCTCATAAAAAAATAAATAATCCTGGATTTGCACAGATTAATTCTATTTATATTCCTGAAAAGTTACAAGTCAGTGACAATAGTGTAAATTCAGCCTCATGTTATAAAATGAAAACATTTGCTTTGTATGTTCTGACTTTTTAAGCAGCTTTTCATGTACCCTATACTAAAATATAGGTAATTTGACACTTCATAGGGAGAGAATTTGAGGTTGAAACAACAATAATGATTACTGGTGTGTGCTACATATATGCTCCTTCTTGTTCAAGAAATGATTCAGGTGATTATCCAAAGTTTTAAAGCTAAAATGATGTTAAACCCTTAGGATTTTTTTATTATAGTTTTTTAAATTTCATTTTTATGAAAATACTATATATACATAATTGGAAAAGAGAAGTGACACAGCGCTTATAAATAAGAGAAAGCAGGAGCATCCTGCCCCCCGCTTCCCCACCCCTCCCTTCTCCCCAGTTTAAATGGTTTTAGCTGTGTTTCACTTATCCAGGCTTACACTCTTTCTTCATTTTTCACTTCAGTTATCTTTTGATGTCCTATTGTAGAATATGAGGCTTTATTATCTTATGTTACTTCACCCAACAACTCACCCACACCACAGAACACCTCCCATTCATTTAATACAATACATCACAGTGTGTGGCTAAATCAGTCATCCCTGTTTAGGTCTTCCTTTATCCATCTGGAATCTATTTGGATGTAGCTTTACTTTTTTTCCAAATGGATAGACTTCAGAAACTTGTCAGTGAATCAAAGCAGGATATTAATTACCTCAACTCCAAGGCCACACCACCCACTAGGTTGGGAATTCACTGTCTATTTTATTTCCTTTTTGCCCAGCTTAGCTCATTGGAGTTGAGTGGGGACCCAGGACCTCTGTCCCAAATGATGCAACGCCAGCAGTATGAAATGCTGGAAATGTGATGAAACTTCTTCACATTTACAGGGAAGTCTCTCCCTCCCACAGAAAGAAACTGCCCTCTCTCATTACCACAGAAGATTCCAACATCTCTTCCCACTCCTCCCAACATTTTTTTTATCCTGCTTAGTGCCAGACAGCCAGGACTCACACCAGCTGTCTTCCACAGTTCTCCAGAACGGGACCAGAATCATTCTGTATTCTTGCAAATTCAGTATTTCATGAATATTTGCCCTATTACTTCCATCAAATGATGAGTCCTTCTAAGGTTGTTGTCTTTTCCTTCCCTTTTTTGCCATGTGAGCAGAAGGGCCTGGAGAAGTGGTGTACTTAAACCTAGTTTTCTGCATTTGCCTCAAAGGTACCTACCTGCCCACTGACCTGTCACATTCTTACTCCTTCAAAACACAACCTAATTGTCTACTCTGGGAAGTTTTCCACTGGCACATTCACCCCAGAGGCCACCCCTTCTTGGACTGCGACCTACTTGTGTTTTCAGTGTAGCGCATCATCACCCTTTAGTGCAGGTATTTAACAATGTAGAGCTTAAGGGCAGACCATCAACAGGCAGACCTACAATTTGACATCCAGAGATGAACAGGGCCAATTAGAGGCCTCTTCTATAAGTTTTAAATTGGATTCTGAGAGTCTGAAACACTTATCTCATGAATCTCAGCCCTAGCTATACCGTAGAATCACCTGGGAAGCTTAAAAAAAAGCAGCAGCAGCCTGGGCCCCTCACCCAGAGATACTGATTTAATTAGTCTGGCATGGGGCCTGATCATTGTGATATTTAAAGGCTCTGTAGTGATTCTTATGATCAGGTGGCATTGAGAAACCCTGAGTTACCTGAAAGTCATGTGAATTCAGGGACTGGGCAGTAGTACATTCATCCACATGCCAACTAAAGCATAGAAGGTCAGATGGGAAAGGAGATTGTGTAACCCCTGAGGAACTGTGACCATAGTCTCAGCTCCTGGCCGCTTCATGATTGCAGTTCCTACAAGAGCTGGCTGCCTGAATTCTCTGAGAGAGGCCCGTAATTATTCCCCATGCCATCCAGTGATGACACCTAGGTAGCAGTTATCTGGGATTTAAATTCTAGGTTGTAATTATTTTACATTACAAAGGAACAGTTTTTATAAGTTTTACTGTGTTTTTTTCTTGCACCATTTTATGTATCCCTCTTCCCCTTTGTTGGATGATGTTGTTATGCCTAACAATCCTAGAGTAATTCTCTCAGAAAAGATCTGAGAAAGAATTTGATACTTGTTGTGGACCTTTTCAGTCTGAAGACTAGAGTGTTGAGTTTTACAACATTGTCTTCTATTTCTTTGATTGTTTCCTCTCCTCTAATTCTATTTGCTTGAATTCTAGAATTCTGTTAGATGAATGAGGGAGATTCTGGATCTGTGCTCTATATTTCTTTACCGAACTCTGATTTTCTTTCTCATTTCCCTTTTGCCTTTCATTCTAGGTGAGTTCCTCAGCAATATTTTCCAGCTTGTTAATTTAATCCAAAATTGGATTCATTTCTTTTGTTGACTCCATCTAATGAGTTTTTTTAAATGTTTTTAATGCATTTTATTTCCAATACATTTTTAATATTTTTAATGCATTTTATTTCTAATATATTTTCCTTACAGCCTGTTTTGATTTTTGCGAATGCAGTTTCCTTTCATATTCATTTGTGAGATTAATAATATTTTGAAGTCTTTCTGCTATTAATAATTGTCCCCTCAGGTTTTGGATTTTTTTCCTTTTGTGTGGTGTTTGGTACCACTCTTTCACACCGTTGGTTTTCCTCCAGAAGTTTGATTTTTGGCTGTGTTGAAGATTCCACATTTGCCTGTGCGTGAATGCTATTTCTGTCTATCACGGCTTCCAGTGAGTGTGGAGTAGGGGCAGAATGTGCTGCTGGATGGGATATACTCTTAGTCTGTCTTCCGAATGGCCTCTCCAGCCTCGGGACCCGAGCTCATTGCCTTAGCTGCTGTCTTCCATTGCTCAGCACAGGCAGAAAATGGGGAAGAAGCCATCTCATCTCATGTGGCCACTCTGAATGCTACTCTCCCAATACTGATACTTCCTCAGAGCCCCCTTCCTTCTCATATCCATTGGCTCTGGGCTTGGAGCCCCTTTTTTACTTTTTAGCACTTTCCAGTCTGTCTTCTATCCCCTTATCCCAACCAAATGGTTGTTATTGAGGGCAACTAGCACATCTCTCTTGTCAAATTTAAAGTTATCCATCTGACCACCATCTGTGAGACTCTTCGTGCCCCCTGGGGTTCCGTACTACCCTGAAGCCGCTCCTTCTTGCCCCCCCCTTCCTGAACAACCTTTTCTGTTCACCCTCTCATTGTTGGTATTCTTCCAGCCTGACCTAGGCCATCTTTCCACTCTGCGCTCTCTGATTGAATTTTGCATTCCCTGATTGAACTCTCCATCTCCATCGTTAGCATAACTTGCCCAGAAGTGAACTTTCTGATCCTCTCTCACCAGTCTTCTCCCCATCACAAATTGCAACATCATGCTGCCAGTTCCAAGTCCCTGCTCTCCCTTTATTTCCAAAAGGCTCTCCCTTGCCATATCCCAGCACTTACAGCTTCAGTCTGCTCCACCTCCATCCACTCCCACCTTAGCCTAACCCACAGTCTCGCCTATTTCAGTTGACTTTGGCACCTCTACAATCCACAAAAAGTTGAGAGGAGACCTTCAAAATCATAAGTTAGTCTGAGTCTGTCTACTTATCTCATATGCAGTGTATCTAAAATAAACACCAGGATCCTATGTGAAATGGCCTCTGCTCACCTCTCCATGTTCATGTTATGCTACTCTCTGTGTTCCCACTACATTGTCACCTTCTATTTCTTCAAAAACACCAACTTCTTTCCCACCTCACAGCATATGCACATTTTTCCCTTTTTTCTAGAACATATTTCTCCCTCCCCTTCACCTGTATACTTGTATTCACTGCTTGATTTTTCCCAGCAACAGCCAATTGTCTGAAATCAACTAGGAGTTTTGTTTCTAACACTACCTGGAGTCAGCGCAGACCCCCTGGGCAAAGGGCTCAGTATGACAAGACTGCCCCCACTTCAGACACCAACTACAAATGGGTCCCCAGGATACCCACATTTCTGCCTGGCCAGCTACAAATTTGGGGGTTCCAGTGAACTCCCCTTAGATTCGAGTTTTCTAAAATGACTCACAGAATTTAGGAAAGCACTGTGTTTAAAATTACAATGTTATTATAAAGAATACAACTCAGGAACAGCCAAATGGAAGAGATGTATAGACAAAGTATGGGGTAGGAGGAGAATACAGAGTGTCCATGCCCTTTCTGAGCATGACAGCCTCCCCGTACATCAGTGTGTTCACCAATCCACAAGCTCCCCAAACCTCCTCATTCCATGTTTTTTTCAAGATTTCATTATATAGTCATAATTGATGAAATCACTGGTCTTTAGTTATTGAACTCAGTCTTCTGTCCCTCTCTCCTCCCCTGAGGTTCTAACCCCAAATCACATGGTTGGTTTTTCTAGCTCATGAGGGAAGCAACCAATCAATGTGTCTCTCTCACATTGATGTTTCCCTCCCTCCCTCCCTCTCTGAAAAGCAATGGAAAAAATGTCCTCAGGTGAGGATTAAAAAAAAATTAACTTTTCTCATATTTTTAGACTTTACCAGTGAACATTTGCTAATTTTGATTAAATAGCATGCTTATCATTTATCATAATTATGTTAGAATTATTTTTCTTATTTGAGAAAAGCCATTCCATTAAAGGTCCAGTGGGAGGTCAGGGCTCTCTTCGAGGACCTTGTGGGGACAATACAGTCTAAATGAGCGGGTTGGGAACCTCAGCTTATCAAAGTCTTCTCACACTTGTTTCCTATGAACCGGACATGGTTGTGATTACTCATCAAAAGGAGCTTGGGGTGGTATTTGGGGGATTGTTTCCCTGCCTGACCTGGAATGTGGAGACAGTGGTGCTGATTCCGGGGGCTGGGATAATAATTTGCTACTTTCCTTTCTCACAGTTGTTTCCTCTCTTTGCTCCTGGTGGCTGCTGTGGTTTGGAAGATCAAACAAAGTTGTTGGGCCTCCAGGCGCAGAGAGGTAAGCCTCAGTGAATAAAGATTAATGAGTCCTTGTAAGAGCTTTTCCTTTCTACATATTTTTCTTAAGTCAGTGTTCGCTGTTTAATGATAATTGATGGACATATCCACAGTGAGAATAATGCTGCCCTTTCTACAGGTGGTCAGTAGACTTCAGTTACTGCTACAGAATTCTGCCCCACTTGGTCTCAACTTTCTAAAAGGAAACTCTAGTATTGACTTACAGGTGCCAGTTTTATCTGTCCTACCAGAACCCTGATCCTTAAATTTGGTTGGAGATGTAAGAATGAGAGTAAAATCAGCCATTTAAGCATCTCAAAAATTTCTCATGTTTCAAGGAAAGGTAAATGTGTATCTAATTAAATTTTTGCTTGAGTTTTATTTTTTAATGAGCCTTGATTTATTTCCAGAGCTCCATTACAAAGTAAGAAGTCAAGCAAATATGTACAATAGACAAATCAAATAAATATACTTGGTTAAAAACTACAGCATAAGAACTTTGTTTATTGCAACTTTCACTTGTTAATACTCAGCCTTCTAATCATCAGGTCTGTTGCATTGTTGCTAATGAAAATGCACTGAGATCTAGCCTTACATGTGCTCCTTTGTTTTCTGTATCTATTCATGCCTTTTGTATATAAAAATAGAACTATGGGCAAGATTTAGAAGAGAATGGGAATATCTAAAATCAAAACTCACAAGCACTCAGCACAGTTCTTCGAACATTAGTGTCTGTAATGGGGTTAAGATAGGTTCCAGGATATGGGCCTCTTCCTGGGGGCATGACACCTTTTCTGACCCATGTAAAAGTGATATTAACATAGAGGTAATGTTGCATCCTCTTTATTATCATTTTAAAAATTAAGTGGATAACATTCAGAGGATTCTTTACTAGCTCTGTTACTAAGATATTATAAAATCCCAATGAACTGTACAGTGGTCTGAAAAAAATCCAAGTTATCCAAATGGAGTAAGAAAAAAGTGGTAGCCACAATAAACTAGTAACCAGAGAAGAAGGAATTGAAAAATTATTAAAATATTACTCTCTCTACAAAGGGCATTAGACCCAGGGAGTTTTGATTTGAGATAAGCTCATGGAGATGATAATATTCTATTCCTCCTTGAGTGCTTATGAGAATTATTTTCAAAACATATAAAATGTTCCAGAGCAAAGGGTAAGATGGGAAGTTTGAGAGTCCTAAATCATCCCTGGTCAGGTAGCTCAGTTGATAGAACATCGTCCCAGTACACCAAGGTTGTGGGTTCAATCTCTGATCAGGGCACATACAAGAAGCAACTGCACTTGCCGGTTTGGCTTAGTGGTTAGAGTGTCGGCCCACAGTTCAGTCTGCGGGTTCAGTTTCTGGTCACTTACCTGGGTTGCAGGTGTGATCCCCACCCTGGTCGGTACATGTAGGAGACAGCCAATTGATAGGTCTCTCTTACATCGATGTTTCTCTCCCTCCCTCTCTTTCTCTCTCTCACACACACAAACACACAAATCAATAAATTTTTTTAAAAAATTTAAAAGATTCCTAAATCATGTTATGCATAAAAAACCTTGTAACTAAAACCTGAGAAAGGTAGCACCAAGAAATAAAGGTCAGTAAAAAAATAAAACCAAAATTTTAGTAGTGGCCATGTATTCATTTAGTCATTTTGAAATTCAACACCAATTCCTACTTTAAAAATAAAATCTTAGTAAACTCAAAAATACCTTCTTTACACGTAGAAGATAACCCAACATCATTCACGATGAAAAAAATAGTAAAGGTTGTACCAATAAAATCCAGACAAATTAGTTGTAAGAGCTGACATTTGAGCATTTCTAAATTCCAGGCACTCTTCTAAGAGGTTTTATATAGATTAACTGATGTAATCCTCATCACTAATTTAACCCTAACTAACCCTATGGCTCAGAGAGGCGTAACTTACTCGTCATTACAGTTACCTAGAGGCTGAACTGGGCTTTAAACTTGGGATCTCTGTCTTCATAGGCCCCCTCGTCATCATGCGGTCCCCACAGTCACTTAATTTTGCTCTGGGTATCGTGGATGCGCTTAGAGAAAGAAGTGTTGTTACTATTGGAAAGGGGACAAAGTTATTTTCAGATAGAATTATTGAAATACAGTACAGTAGAGATTTGCCTGCATAAAAATTAATACTTAAGTATATAAAACGTAAATAAATGAATAACACAGAAAGAAGACAACCAACTGGGAAATAATTACAGCATACAGGAAGGAAGATAAGGAAAAGATGAACACCTTGTAGAAAATCGATCAGCCAATAAACTAAGGTTTTACCCTTGTAATTTAAAATTTCTGTTACTGTGAATCTGACCATTCAAAATATATTTCATCATTTCTAAACTGTCAGTCATGATTTATCCCTCAGAACTGTAGAAGAAGTGATTTGATGTTATTTATAACAACAAAAACAACAGCAGCTAACACTGCGTAAGTCCTTGCTATGTACCAGGTCATTTTACGTGCTTTTACACAAATTATCTCCTGCACTCTTCATAAAGGAACTAGAATGGGAACTGGACAAGGGTAGGCACTGTTTCTTACTGTGACTCCAACACTTAGAATAGCACACAGCCCAGAGTAGGTTGCTGTATATATTAGTTGAAAAATAGCCCAACAGCTTTATGAGGTGTAAGAATGTTCTTACTAATATTTTAAGAAATTTAACATAAAAATGCCCTTCTAAAACAGAGCCATGATCTATTCAGCCCAAGATTCTCAATCTCCTACAGTAGTTCCAAGGGGATGGTTTGAAGTAAGGCCTGGTTGTCTTCATGACAGGACCTGAAAGCTTCAACAACATGTCCAGATCTCTAATATCCTTAATGATACATGACTGACTACCCACTGTGTGCTAGACACTGTGCTAGTTAAAGTATCTCATTTGATCCGGCTGACATACTTATGGGATTAAAACCCATTTCGGAGAGGAAGGAACTGAAGCCCAGAGACTTGAAACACCTTTTTCAGGCTCACACAACTGGAGAGTGATGGAGCAGGGATTCACAATCCAAGCTTCCCTAAATCCAGAGTCCCTGCTTGTCCCTCTGACTACAAAACGTCACTCTTGTTTATGTTTTCAGCTTATGTCACCTCTCTGAATAAAGAGCTTTTTCATTTCCTATCTACTGTGTAACAGGGACAGGTATTTATTTGTTGCTATGCAAATACTTGGTTCAAGTTTCAGCAGGAAAAAAGAAAGCCTGGCTGTAATCTAGTAATAAAAATATGAGGAGATAGGGCTATATCATTTATTTTATGTATTTAACATAGGCACTGTGACATATCCATACTAAAGTATATATCTTTAACAGATAACGATATTTTCTTTAACATAATGGCAATACTCTTACCACATCCAACAAGATTTAGTAATTCCTAATATTATCTAGTACCTGGTCCCTGTCCAACTTTCCCCAACTGTTTTAAAAATAGTTTGGATTTGAATCAGGGAGGGTGAGATATTTTTAATGTGTAGTATTCTCTAATAAAGTTCCCTCAGCACTCTTTGCATTCATGCTTGCTGCTTACTCATCAGCAACTTCTCCGAGAGATGCAGCAGATGGCCAGTCGTCCCTTTGCCTCTGTGAATGTTGCCTTGGAAACAGATGAAGAGCCTCCTGACCTTATTGGTGGCACTGTAAAGGTGAGACTGTGATTATAAAGTCCCTGTAACTTAATGTGTCAGAACCTAGGCTTCTGCGTCCGGGAAGCCCGAGAGAGCAGCTTTATTCTGTTGCCCCTTATGTTTCCCTCTCTCTCTTTTACAATAAGCCAACACGCCAAAGTTGTCATGTATTCTGCTTTTGTTTTCTAGTCTTTGATTCATGTTGCTAAGCGGTCTCACGTTTAGGGAATTTTAAAATATAAAAGCTTTGTCTGATAGTCTATGGCATAATACTTTAAAACTTGAAAAAAGCTAAACTGAACCATTGTCTTTTGTAAGTATTTGGGGGTGGGGGTGGGATTAAAGGGAGAGAATCATAATTCACTATGAAGTCTGTGGAAAATAAATATTTCTGACTCCCCCCCTCCACAAAAAATGATGAGGAAAGAAATAAGAATTTCTCTTTTAACAAAATGACAGAGTATTTCAGATACTTTGGTAAAACAGCTCTATATCTTGAATAAAACATACTTACTAAAGCATTACTGAGCTCATAGGAAGTAGGTAATATTTTCAGGGACCATTCTCCATTTCCTTCTCCAAGAAGGAACAAGCCACGAACCAAAACCAAAACCTAAAGTGATTCCCAAGGACAAGAGAGACACATCTTCATGAGTAAGTGTCAGCAGGAACAGCAGATGGTGAGTTTAGACAGGAGGAAATGGGGAGTTACTATTTAATGGGTACAGAGTTTCAGTTTTACAAGATGAAAACAGCTCTGGAGATGGATGTTGGTGATGGTTGCACAATATGAGTGTACTTAATACCACTGACCTTGGACAACTAAAAATAGTTAAGATGGTCAATGTTATGTGTATTTTACTGCATTAAAAAAGAACTGGGAAAGCAAGAGAAGATCACCTGTAGGAGTGACAGTGATAGCTGACTTCTCATTAGTAACACCAGAAGCCAGAAGAGAGTGGAAGAATATTTTCAAAGTACTGAAAGAGAACTGCCACCCTAGACTAGGGTGCTCAATAACTATGTTCTAAGAACAGGGGTAAAACAAAGATATCTTCTGATGAGAAGAAAAACTGAGTTTGCCCCCAACAGACCTGTGCAAAAGAAATGTCCAAAGGATGTGCTAGAAAGAAGGAAAATTACCCCAGGAGGATGGGATAATAAGGAGTGGTGAGTAAGTAAAAGGATAAACATACATAAATCTAAGCAAACATTGTCCTGATGGAATAGTAATGATTTGTGGGATTGAAAGGAATAGACGAGCCTAAAGTACTGAATATGTCGTGTTAGCAGCATGTAACACAGTTGGTTAACCCTTAGAACACGTCTTAGACTTTCCTTTCAGGACACCACATGCTTACCCTGTGGCTGTTTGTTGCTCAGCGTTCTCTGTTCAACCTTCTTTATCTCCCCAACGCCTTTAACAGTGGTGTACATCAGGCTCAGTCTTTTAGCCTCTTCTCACATCTTTTACACCTTTTACTCCTGTGGTGGTTGTCTTAATCTGTTTGGGCTACTATAACAAAATGCCAGAGACTGGGTGGCTTATAAACAACAGAAATCTATTTCTCACAGTTCTGGAGGCTGGAAGATTCACTGTCTTCCGAAAGAACACATTCTGGTTCATAGTTGGCACCTTTTAGCTGAAACCTTTACATGGTAGAAAGGATGAGGCATCCTTTTCTAAGGGCACTAATTCCATTAATAATAGTTCTGACCTCATGCCCTTGTCTCCCAAAGTCCCCACCTCCAAATACCATCCCATTGGGCATTACAGTTTAACATATGAATGTTTGGAATACATAGACATTCAGACCATAGCAGTAATCTTATCCATCATGGATTTAAACACCATGAGCTCTCCCCTCACCTCTCTCCCATGAACGTCCGACTCATATATCAGATTGCTTACTCAGTGTCCCCACTTGGATGTCTTAATAGGTATCTCAAACTTAACACGTCTAAAACTGAGCTGTATATGGTGTTTCCCACACCTGCTCCTCTGGCATATCTTCCTGAACTCAGTATACATCATCTGTCATCCTAGTTGCTCAGTCAAAAATCGTGGGTTTTTCCTTGACTCATCCTTGCTCTCATTTTCATTGGACAGACAGTCTGTCAGCAAATCTTTCTGGCTTTATCTTTAAAAATATTTCTTGACCACTGTGCACCCTTCCACCAGTGTTTCCTACCACCTTGGTCGAGGCCACTGTCATCTCTCACCTAGATTATTGTAGTTGCTTGTAACTGGTTTCGCCACTTCTGCTGTTTGACCCACCCAGTCATTTCCCCATGCCACAGCCAGGGTAGTTCTGGATTGCTGCCATATTTGGGAGTATGGTGGGCAGGATTCTAAAGATTGCCCCCAAGATTCCCGTCCCCTGGTTAGTCAAACTCTAGGGACTGCTAGGAAGGGATTTTGGCCCAGCTGGGCGTGGCTCAGCAGTTGAGCATAGACCTAGGATCTAGGAGATCGGGGTTCGATTCCCGGTCAGGGCACATGCCCGGGTTGCAGGCTAGGCAGCCAATCAATGACTCTATCATCATTGATGTTTCTATCTCTCCTTCTCCTTTCCTCTCTCTGAAATCAATAAAGACATGTTGTTGTTGTTGTTTTTAAAAAAAGGGATTTTGTAGACGTAATAAAAGGCTCAAGGCAATTGACCTTAAGAGATGGGGAGTTTTCTCTGGCTGGTGGCACAGAGGAAGCATGGTAAGGACTTGATGGGTTATCACGGGTTTGAAGCTAGAGGCCACATGAATGGGAATGCAAGTGGACTCTACCAGGAGAGTGGCCCCTGGCTGACCACAAGCAAGGAAATGAAGACCTCAGGCCTGCAGCCGTAAGGAACTGGATTCTGCCAACAACCTGAATGAGTTTTGAAGCTGACTCTTCCCCAGAGCCTGGGATAAGAGTGGAGCCCAGCTGATACTTGATTTGCCCCTTGTGAAGATAAGAGCTGAGACTCTTGTCAGATAAGAGCTAAGAATTTTCCAGAACTGATGAAAGATATAAATAGACCTCTATCCCTAAGCAGAGAACCCTACAGAGCTCATCTAGACTTCTCACCTACAAAATTGAGATGATAGATGTGTTGTTTTAAGCAGCTAAGTTTGTAATTTGTAACAGCAATAGAAACTAATACAGAGAGCATCTTTACAAAGTCACATCTGAAGGCTGCACTGCTAAAGCTTGAGAAACACCACTTTAGCTAATTACTTGTTTTCTTCCTTCAGACTGTTCCTAAACCCATTGCCCTAGAGCCGTGTTTTGGCAACAAAGCTGCTGTCCTCTCTGTGTTTGTGAGGCTCCCTCGAGGCCTTGGTGGAATCCCTCCTCCTGGGCAGTCAGGTGAGTAGACCAGAGGTTCAGTGACACAGTTTACATTTTAGACCTGTGAAAGATCCTTCTCTTTCATCGAGAGCCTGAGTATAAAAGTGATATTGAATAGTTCTTGCCTATTGTCGTCGTGAGGATTCAGTCATAACTCCATTGTCACTGGATTTCCCTAACTGTGTTTCCTGAGGTCACCAGTCCTTCCCAGGGGAATGTCCAGAGCTCCCCTCACTGCACCAGCTTCCTCAGCTTCCTAGTTATTTGATGCTTTGGACCACACCTTCCTTTGTGTACAGTGTGTCTGGCCCCCTCTGGCTCTGCTGCTCCTTTCCTGCCTCTTTGCTTGCTCTGTCTGTTATGTCATGTCGGTGTGCTCTGTCTTCATTTGTTCTGTCTCAGTCATCTTACCTGCTCTCATGGGACCAGCTAGCTCCTCCAAGTTGGAGATTCTCAAATTGGTATTTCCAGAACTACTGCAGTTCATTTGCTTTTTCACTATGTTTTAAACATTTTTTATAGACTAATTTTAGAGGGGGGTGGAGAAACATCAATGTGTTGTTCCACTTATTTTTATGCATTCATTGGTTGCTTCTTATGTGTGCCCTGACTGGGGATCAAACCCACAACCTTTGCATATCGGGACAACGCTCTAACCAACTGAGCTACCTGGCCAGGGCCTTTTTTACTCTTTTTTATATATAAGGCACAAACAGCAATTATAACAACTTAAAGGAAGTTTCTGAAAATTTACTCACAGTTCTACTAGCCAACACCCATTAAGTTTCACTGTTCTGTTTCCAGCTCTTGCCAGCAATTTAGTTGAAATGTTTGTATCACTCTTATTTTTATTCTTTTCTCATATAACTTTCATAAACATTTTTACAGCTTACTATGTAATATTTTACCAATCTCTTTTACACTCTTCCATCAAATACATGAATCATAATTTAGAAAACATCTTATTGTTGAACATGAAGGAAAGATGGAATACAGTTTTGAAGTATCTTGATTAATGGGAGTACTTTGGAGGGATGACTCAAAGTTTTTAGACAGCCTTCAGTTGAGATGATTCTTGGAGTCAGGATTGCCTCAGCCAAAAAAGCCTTGTCTATGAGGAAAGTGTGACCCAGAATCCTTGCCCTGGCCCTGAGCTCCACAGCCCCGATTGTAATCCAGAAGAGCCTCCAGCTCAGCTTTCAGATGGTCTGCATCTGGGGTGTCCTTGTGAGCAGAGGCCTTTAGGCATGGCCAGCCAGGATTATACTGCTTTCACTTCTTAGGGGAGCAGCTTGATTTGCCCTCACCATGGGATTCCTATTAGTTGAGCCCCTGACTCGGCCTTGCCCATGTTGAGAGCAGGATAACCTGTTCTCTGGGGAAGTGTCTTCTGCCACCCACGTTGGCCAGTTCTCCCTGATGGCAAGGTGCTGGCTGGGGTGGGGAGGAGATGACAGGCTTGCAACACTGCAGCCTTTTCTGCCCCAACCCCCTCATGCTTGATGAAGGCCCGCTCACTGCTTGAGACCCAGTTCCTTCTCTGCCCCCCCC